TGAGATCCTCTGAGGAGTTTCTGAAAGATCTAGATTCTCCTCAGAGGATGAACCTTTGTCAGCTGCTGGAGCTTCAACAGAACCAACCTGACCTGTAGGAGCAAAGTACTCACAGTACCACAGACTTTCTACATGTACTTCACTTACTGATACTGATGTACTGGGAGTGTGAGCGGAGGAGAACCACACATATTTCACTTTTAATGCTGTAGTAGTAACAGTTGGATCCTCATTGTGAAATATGAGCCTCTGCTGTCAGTCAAACTTGTTTGTGATTGGTCATATGCAGTAAACTCCGCCCCTTAATGTGCACACACTTATATCTAAAGTAGTAAAACCTGGATTCATTTAACAAGTAATAACCAGCCCCATGTGACCACTGAGCCTGACTGTTTGTTAGGTTAAGTTCACCGCGTTAAACTGAAAGTTGAACGAGCTTCCTGGAACCTGGTCAAAAACATGTATAGTCTAAGTTTATCCCAGACTTAATTCAGGTCCTTGTCTATTTAATCCTGGTTTTGTTCTGATGTTAGCCTGACTGTTTACCCTCTTTTAGCCCCTTGTTTTGAAACTGAAATAATGATGAACTAATAATTAGATTTGTTTTAATAATTGAATTAGCTTAGTTTAGTTCTCTTTTATAACTATCATAGTCTAGTTAGCTTAGTTTAGTTAGCCTGGTTTGGTTAGCTTGGTTTAGTCGCTCTATTAATGTTTAAACTGCAAACAGAAATGTCAGATTCTCCAGTTTTGACAAATTACCGTCTTTCCTAATCAACAGAAACAGGAAGTCAAACTCTTTCAGTGTCCAGTCGGGACGAGATTAAGATGATGATGTCATTGTACCTCCACCAGACCATCAGCCAATCAGCAGGAAGTGAGCAGTTTGAGGACATTACCCAGAGTGCAACAGGACATCATCTCTGTCTTACAGTGACTAACAGATCTACTGTATTCAAATGATCTCATCCAATCATCTGATAGGTTCAGTAAATGCAACACATTCAAACTGTTACTGTGTTCTTATTGGTTGTTGATTTCACATGCCGACATGTGATTGGTTAGATGAACATCCTGTCAGGTTTCACAGCTGAACATTTCTACAGATGTTATTTAATAATCATATTGAACAGTTTTAATAAAAATGGACCAATCACAGCCAGGTGTTTCCCAGCATGCACTGAGCCCCAGAACCTGCTGCACTCAGGATTAAAGCGGAAGTCACACGGTTGTCCTTTTTAAAACTTGAAAACCTGATTTATTACATTTTTGTTTAGTTGGAAGTGACACCACTGCTGGCTGTTGAGAAGGTTGGAACAGGTGATGTCACAGTGACATCACAGGTGAGGTTTGATTTCATGTTGGTCAGTTTGTGAAAAAACTCCAAAGGTAAAGTGACATATTTTAATGTTTTATAGTGATTTACTGCAGTACAGTACGAATAATTAACAACAACAGTACGTTTAAGTCATGAACTATAAATGGTTCTCATGTGTTCATATTTGATAACATGCTCATGATCATGCTAACATGCTAATTAGCTGCAGATTGAAACAGGTTGACCTTCTCCTCAGTTTTTCAGTCACCAGATACTTTGAGATGTTTCCAAACAAAGTCTCAGTTAAAATAAAATAAGTTGGTTAAAGTAAATCCACGGATGTGAGTCTGTATAGAACAAGCGCAGCGTGCGGAACCTCAGTGTTTACAAACCTTTGACCCCTGAGCCTCCATCCCTGGTCAAAAACCACAGGGATTTTTATATCCTTTAATTTACCACCATGTTCTGAGCTAAATGCTAACAGCTGATGTTTAGCAGGTGTAACGATCACCATCATTAGCATGATAGCATGCTAACATGAGCTATTAAGGAGTAAATACGGGGTTGATCAGGCTGAAGGGAAAGTCGATGATAATGGCGGTAAACATAAGTCTGAGTGTAAATACACCTGTTGAAACATAATGAAAACAACAGCGGCTATTTTCAGTTTTATGTTAATCGTCTCAGGACCGTTCAGATTTATCTCGCGACCCCTCGAGGGGTCCTGACCCTCAGGTTGATTAACACAAAAAGCTTCTAACTACAGAATCTACTGACACTAAATGAACATTAGAAGTTAGTAAACCTGCAGAGTCATCGTTTCATTGTTAAAATGTAAAGTTTGATGCGTGTGACTCGGGTGGGTGTGGCTTAGCAACCACTACTTCCTGGTGGGATCGACCACTCGACCGATGAACATCAGGCTGCCAGTGTTCTGCTGGTAGATAATGAAGATGAATGGTCGGTTGATGGTCAGTCGAGGGGGAGGAGAAGAGAACACATTGACTTCATCCCCTGCAGTGATGTCATCGCTGCGCTCGTCAACAGTGACAATAGATTTATGAAAAACCTGATAAAAAAAAAAGGAGTAGATGAGAGATTTCCACAATAAAAAAATAAATAACTAAAAACATTTCACATCACATCAAAATGAACCCAAAAACCACCACAGAGACGTAAGACCACCATCAGTTGATTGCCTAGCCCCAGCTTCTTCACTCACCTGTGTGAGTTGGGGTCCTTTAGCCCCGCCCATGTTTGTGATGTCTGCATCGTCCTGAAACACCTGCGTGATGTCAAGAGTCTGCAGGACGTCCTTCAGCGAGTAGGAACGTTCCAACAGGAAGCGAGGAACCTGCACCTCCAACTTCCTGCGTTCAAAATAAAACAGAATGGATGGAGATGGATTCATTTTCAGAAATGCCACTAAAGGTTCTACTCCACTTCTTCTGTCTGTTATTCTGTGTTATTCCATATTCGTATGTTCAGATCAACGCTGTTATTTATGTTGATATTAGCGTTAAGGACGAGAGGCAGGAAGCAGACTCTTACGTCTTCTTGAGCTGTTTGATCCAGGCTTGGATCTTTTCGGCAGTCACTTCTTCTTCAACCGCTGTGACGTCCACGTCTTCATCAGGCAACACCACTAACATGGCCGTTCCATCGGTCATCGGCAATTTCAACACACCAGCCTTCACCGAGCGGTCGTATGCCAGGAAGTACTTGTCAGTCCTGGACATCATGGTAACCATGACGATGTGATACCTGTCCATGTAGAAACGCTCCTCCTGAGACAGGGACAAGTTAAAGGCTGGACTGAACTGGGCTGAAAGAGAAGGAAAAACTTTATTAGTACAGGCAGATAAAACATCATAGCAGAGTTGTGAACACACGTGTGACTGATGTTGTCGAATACAAGTTAAATAAAAACATGTTTCTAACTGACCAACTCCGATGTTACATCGCCCTGCCCCTCACTAAAAGCCCCGCCCCATTACCAGGTGACAGGTGAGACGTACTTTGATATGAGGCCACAATGGCGAGCAGCAGCTGGGTCTGGGGGTCCAGGTTGGTCACCAGCTCCTGGACCTGGTCTCCGGACTTCTCCTGTGCCCAGCGGTTGATGGCGTCAACGGCTTCCTGCGGTGTCGAATAGTCCACAGTCTCAGCATTTCCTCTGAACTTCATCTGAACCAGGTCCAAGTAAGACGGGGACACCTGGAAGCTCTGGGCGGGAAAGACGGCCACTCCCTGCCGTAGGTTCAGGATTTCGCCACCCGGCAGGATGACAGTCCTCAGTGTCTGAAATAGATCTGAGAGCAGCAGCGACCAACTCAAACCTCACAGAATCAAACCGGAGTATTACTCTCATCCCTGACCTCTGACCCCAGACCCTGGACCTACCTGGGAGAGTCTGTGGGTCCAGTCCTGACAGACTGAGTCCTTGAAGCAGCTGATCCTGGGTCATCCCGTTGGTGGCATTCAGCAGCGCCATCAGTCCAGCGGTCAGCGTGAAGGGGGACAGAAAAACGTTATCATCGGTCCGACTAGCGATGACTTGGTACAGTCGGGCTGCGAAGTCTGAGTTCCTATTGACTAAGTCCTGAAGGGCGGGGTCGACGGTCTCAGAGGAGACTGGAGTCAGGAGGAGGACCAATGACAGGAGGAGGCAAAGATTCATGGTCATGGTGCTTCTCCCTGTGGAGGAGGCGAGAACAACAGGGACACTGGTCACCACAGATCATCAGAACATCATCGATCTACTCAGAGCGTCAACCGACTTCCGGTAAAAGGTTACGCCTGCCCCCGTGACGTCACATCAAATCTTTTATTTTGGATTTCCGTTGTTTATGTGGTTTTTAAGTGTGATCGTGCTTTTTATCTCGAAAGGATCATTTTTCTGTTTGGTGCTAAAAGCGTTTCCGATCGGTCCGGATCAATAATTCATAATATCTATAGATCGGCTCCGTATCTCTCGATGACGTAATCTATGCATAAACAGGAATGATCCACGGCCGTAAACAAACTGACGTCATCAGTCTGACCTTCAGGTTCCATTTGATCTTCAATGTTGGATCAGATGTTTTTCTGCCTCACGCGCTGCGCATCACCGTCCAGCTCGCGCCCCGTTCACAACACTGCCACTTCCTGTCTGCTCTTTTCAGAATAAAATCCCAGTTTCCACGCAGCAGGTAAAAAACCCGAAAGAAGAATTTATCAACGAGACAAAATGACTCACGAAGAAAACTGATAAAAACAGGAAATAGAATAAATCTATGACAAAATAAAAACCAAAGATCTACATTCTTATTCACTATTGTACATGTTTCATAAAATACATTCGAATGAAACCTGTCGTCATTTAACAGATATTAATTAGTAAAGTGTCACAATAAAATATGTTTAAATTCAAATGAATCGGGAAGGAGTCACTTTTACTGTCATGCTTTTATTTTGAAAGAACCAACGTTCAATTCTTTTCTATAAGACAACAGTGACGGCATGATGGACCTGAATGTGTAAATGTATAATTTAAGGATATGTGAATGTGTGTAATAATAATATGAAGATGTTAGTAATGTTAATATTAACACACACACACACACATGTGTATGAATATGGTGATGTCAGTGGAAAATCAGCTGATATAAACTTGAAGTGAACCCGCAACACAACCACTGAACAAATGTCCACATAATTATGGCCTGTTACAACATTAACAGTTACAGTTTTATACAAAAACACAGTTTCATACAACCACACTGATATTTGAATAAACTCATGTTTCTGTGTCAGAGCTGCAGACCCCTCCCACCCCCTCCCGCCACACTGCAACGTCTCGTCCATCTCGAGCCAGGTGAGGAGCAAACAGCACCTCCAGCCTGCGGAGGGCGCTGTGCTGGTCACCACGGACAACTGTCCTCTGGAGACGACGCATCATCAGCCGCACCATCACCTGATTGGACCAGGCTAAACCCAGAGCAGGTGACGTGTTGGAGGTGAGAGGGCTGAGATGGAATCATGGTATTAGAAACATGAAATCATCGTCTCACATTGATGATGTCATCACCTTACATGAAATGATTCAAGTGAATAAAAGATGAAATGAAGTTTTACCCTGAACTGTTTGATCTGCTGAAAACATCTGTGACCTGGAACACACAAATACTATCATCACTTATTTTCAAGCACACACACACACACACATAAACACAGACACACACTAACTAACTATCGTCACTTATCTCACTCACACACACAAAATTTGACTCGCAAGATGCAGGACACCACAGTTAGATATCATAGTTTTTACAGTTCTTAAGGTTATGTGTGTGTGTGTGTGTATAAATGTGTATATATATATGTATATACGTGTGCGTGAGTGTTACCTGGTTGATACAGAGGACAGGTGTGGTGAACTCCTGGGTCAGGTGGTGCAGGATAGAGGAGAAGGTGAGCAACCGTTTGTTCCTCTCCAGCCAATCATCAGCCTGGAACTCAGACCTGAAAAGAGCCGCCACCGAGTCCACGACCACAAGTCGGACAAGACCACGAGCCAGCAGCAGGGGGACACGTCGGGACAGACACACCTGGAGAGAGTCCTGAGGACAGAGACACGTGAGAGAAACATGGCGACTGATCTGACCATGGGTCAGCAGTGCCACTCACCAGGTCCGCGGTGTGTTCAACGTAAACATGGTCACTGAACTGGAGGCTGTTGATCAACGATGGGGGGACGTCAGAGCGAAGACACGACTGTTCTCTGATCAGCTGCTGCAGACGTCTGACAGGAAACGGGTCCTCAGTACAGATGTAAACTGCCCCTATACACATACATATATCACTTTTAACCTTTTATATTACATTTATCTGATTTTATCCAAAGCGACTCACAATAAGTGCATCAACCACGAGAGCACAAACCAGAACAACAAGAATCAAGTCAGTTCAACTTGCTGCCAAGAGCCAAACTACATATGAGTGCAACAAAAATGTGTATTTATTGATGTGTATTTTTATCCAAGTTGTAGTCAGAGGAGATGTCTTTAGTCTGCGGCGGAAGATGTGTAGATGTTTGCTGTCCTGACGAACAGCAAACAGTCGTGACTCTTATTTCAGGTGGTTGTTCATTCTTTAGTCGTCCGACTGTCGAGCTCACACTCCAAACAGCAGGGGGCAGCGTGTTTTAGGATGGAGCTCACTGTCCAATCACAGCCGTGTATGGAGACATCAGACCTGTGAATTGGAGCAGTGAATTGGCGGAGACGTGGTGCACTGACCTGCGTCGAGTCCTCCGTGCTGCGTCGGGTACTGCACACACAGACAGAGCTGCAGAGCCAGCTGAGTCTTTCCCGCTCCACTCTCTCCAGACAGCTCAGTGACGCCCCCCACAGGAAGTCCTCCCCTCAGCAGCTCGTCCAGCATGGGACAGCCCACAGTAAGTCTGAGGTCACGCTCTCCTCCACAGAGGACGGCTGAGAACAACAGGAATATACACAGGTTAGCGCTCTGCGACATCACACGGTCACGTCCAATCAGACTGCACGGTTGATGGTCTGACCTGGGTCGGGAGGGTGTCGCCTGCAGGCGGCGGCAGCGGCGGCGAGCAACCGCTGGACGTCAGAGTGAGACAGACCAGTGAACCTCTGCAGATCCAGACCAGAAACACAGAGGACGTCCCTGACACAATTCAGATTGGCTGTGGAGAGACAGTTACCGTAGTAACAACAGTAATTGTTGAGCTGTGGCATTTAATACATAAGTGATGATGTTAGTGTGGTGACCTCTGACCTCTCCTTACTGCGGCCCTGATCCTCGGCTCCAGCTCCAGCTGATCCCACTTCATCTGTCCTCCGAGTTCTGTTCTTCAGGAGATTCTGTCCTTTAAGAGGTTCTGCTTTTCAGGTTCTGTCCTATGGGAGGTTCTGTTCTGTTCTTCAGGTTTTCAGGTTCTGTTCCTCAGGTTCTAGTCTTCAGGTTCTGTTCCTCAGGTTCTGCTCTTCAGGTTTTCAGGTTCTGTTCCTCATGTTTTCAGGTTCTGCTCTTCAGGTTCTGTTCCTCATGTTTGTTTTCAGGTTCTGTTCTTCAGGTTCTGTTCCTCATGTTTTCAGGTTCTGTTCCTCAGGTTGTGTTCCTCAGGTTCTGCTCTTCAGGTTCTGTTCCTCATGTTTTCAGGTTCTGTTCCTCAGGTTCTAGTCTTCAGGTTTTCAGGTTCTGTTCCTCAGGTTCTGTTCCTCAGGTTCTAGTCTTCAGGTTTTCAGGTTCTGTTCCTCAGGTTGTGTTCCTCAGGTTCT